GATGCTGCTTCTTGATATTAGAAAACCACTACACCCATGCTAATAAGAAATGAGATTTACTCCTAATCGATTTTTCCTACAGATGAACTTGTACTGTATGCATTAGAGGGCAGACAGATTATATAAATATATACAGCTGCTCCAGATTTTGTCTGCTCTGGTTTTGATAAATTCCCCTCAATGTCTACAAAAGATGTAACATGTTTTTTGCTAGCTGTGCATTACTCACTTTACAAATTGTTTACTTCTGTTTTTGTTTTGTTTTTTAAATAAAATTTAAATGATTTACTACACAGCCATCTGCCATTACCCGAGAACAAGAGACAGAGCACACATATTTAAAAAGAATTTAGACACTCAAACCTATCCCCTCTTTTTACTGTTGTGATACACTAAAAGTGAAAATGGGGAAGCTCAATCTAAAACCACATTATAGACTATTTTTTAATGGCTTAAAATTTAGACAATGTAGAGATTGAACAAACTAAAATAGCAAACTATCATCCATGACTGACAAATGCAGAACACTTTAACAATATAGACAAGTTTTAATTATCTTTAAAAACATGTTGCTATACAAACACTCTAAGCATGTAGCCTCTATTCAGAGTGCCCTATATATTTTACTGTAAATTTCATAAAGTAACACACCAACAAAGTTTAAAATCTAAAAAGTTTTCTCTGACCACGGACATTTAATGGTTTACTTGACAAAGCAGGGCATCCTTTATAAGAATTTTTTAAAATTATCTTCAACATTGTTGATGTGTCACTTTGACATCTACAGTACCTCGGTAACGTTGAGACGGTCTGTGTCAGTCATGGATGACAGTTTGATATTTCCGGTTTTTTCACTACATTTGTCTGAGGGTTGATCCACTATGTGGGAACAGTCTTATACATTTCTGTTTGGGAGTGTACAGTGGACAGAGTGAGGACAGGTTACAAATTGTTTCAGGTTTTTATAGTTGTCTGTGCCCCTGATGTTAAGGATTTCTTCTTACTTCCTGTCATGATGACTAAAGAGGCAGTGAGGGAAAATCTTTCCATTGGGGACACAGACAACAATAAAAACATGATAGAACTTATACTTCTTCCCTACTCTGTTCTAAGCTAAATTGACTGTTACTAATTTGAATATGCAGAATAAAGCTGTATCTGTAAAAAAAAAATTTAACTGCTTACCTCTCTTGCTCTTCTGATCTAGAGGAATCACAAGCTTAAAGGGACACTAAACTCAGGAGTTAAATAATACAAATCTATTTTTCAGTACCTTTTTAAAGTGGCATTAAAGTCTCAATTTGTATTACACATGTACTGCATTACACAGTATCAAGGTGGGCAAGGCAGAACTACGTCTGGCATTATTTGTAGATGATGTTCTACTGTTCACCACTCATCCCAGAGAGGATGTTCTGGACATCCACGATTTATTTGCTCATTTTAGAACCCTCCGTATAAATTTTCTGAAAAGATAAATTCTTCCTCTATCATAGTTACATAGTATTTGAGGTTGAATAAAGACATAAGTCCATCAAGTCCAACCTGTTGTGTGTGTCGGCGACGACGGTGCAACACTGGAGCAGTAACATGATGATTCGGGTGGCAAAGCAAACCATAACTTACCTGGGCAAAAAGTAGGCAAAACGACCTCCTCTCTCTATCATCTTATCTTAAAAATTCATAGAGAACTAGAAATGTGGAGGGATCCCTCTGTCACTCGTCGGGAGAATTCATCTTATTAAAATGGTCAGCAAAACTGCTATACCCCTTACAAAATCTCCCTTAGCTCTTGAAAACAATGGACATTGTCTCATTAACGCAATTACATTATTTATTTGGCAATCTAAGCGGCCCAGAATCTCCATTAAAAAGCTATGGCTCCTGAAGAGTGAAGGGGGCACCAACCTCCCAAACATTAAACTATACAATTTGGCTTGTTTACTTCGCCATGCACTAGACTGGCTTTCAGACAGCTTTATGTATTCTAATACACCTTTGGAGATGAAGCTGATTGCTCCATGGGATCTTAAAGCTATCCTCCATTGTAGAATTTCTTCATAGCTCCAGTGCATTCGACATAACTCCCTGTTTAAAGACACAATTATAGCATGGAGGGAAATAAGGAAGGCCCTCAAACTATCCCCGCTTATGTCATCTCATTGTCCAATACTGGGCCACCGCTGTTCTCTCAAAGACTGGACTATGCAGCATTCTATAAATGGAAGGAGAAGGGCATCCACAGATAGAAACAATTGTTTCACCCTCACACTTTTGCACTTTCCTTCCAGGATCTGATAAATACTGTATTTCTTTTCCTAACGTTTCGCACCATCTACAAATAACGACCATATGGAAACGTTTCTCGGGAACACCCAAGGCACTCTTTTCCCCATCGTTCCTGGATACACTCATCTCAACCAGAACTTTTTCCATATCGACTATGTACCCAAAACTTGAAGCTCTATTCCTTAGACCCCTCTGGATGTCAAATGTGAAGGGATGGGCAAAGGACTTTGACGACCCTGATCTGGTTACTAAACTCCTTGTGGGGTATGCTAAAACCAAATTGGTGATTTACCAATGAGTCTTGGAGGGAGACCCAATTTAAAATCCTGCATAGGGCCTATGTGCCCTTCTTTCTACAGGAGAACACCTCTTGCACCCAACCTCGTCCTTCCTCAATTTGTCCCAAGTGTGGGGCTCAATGCCCTACTTTGCGCAAACTGCTTCCGGTCTTGTCCAGTGGTATCTGTCTTCTGGCACCAAATTCTGGACTATATCAGCACTATATCAGCACTCTTTCCTAACACCTGATCTTGATCATACCCTTTGTGTGTTTGGATATTTCAATCCCTCTACCAAGAAAAAGGGTCTCACATATTACAAAGACATGGCTTGGATGCACATTTGTCTCCTCATAGCTAGGAGATGTCTTATAAGATGCTGGAATGCCCCTGCCGCAACAAAGATACAGGAAATCATCAGCGATCTAAAACTACTATTGTCCAAGGCAAAACTTGATGCCAAAATGCACAAGGATATTCATACAACATCTCTTTTTCGTAGATGGAAAGTCTTTATTTTTAACCCCTTCATGACTGAGGCCCTTTTTTCATTTTTTGCACCCATGTTATATTCCACATTTTAGGCCTGAAAATGACGTAAAACCCCCCCAACATTATATATTTTCTGAATGCCAAGACCCTATAGAATAAAATGGTGTCTTCTTCGGGACGCAGAAGCGATCTGGCAACAGGTAAGTCGCCAGA